CGTTTGTCACAGCTTTCCCTGTGGTGGCTGCCTGCCAAGTACAGCTATGGAGTTAGCCGTGGGGTGTGAGGTGAGAAAGAGATTGCATGGTCTGGGTATTTTTCTCCCCATCTTCCACTCTCTGGGGCAGATAATATTTGCCCTCTATATGGGTACATGGTCAGGAATGGATGCAGCTGGGAGCAGATCTGCTACTGCTGCTGCACCAGGCTTTCAACTCAACTTGTCTCATTGGGTTGAGAAGTCCTGAAGCCATGCTAAAATGTAATTTATAAATTTATTGGGATTTTTTTTCTTACACCTTCCCATGCCCCCCTCCCAGCCCAGAGATTTTGATCCAGATTTTAAAAGCAACATATAGAATAAATTTAGATTAGCAGACAGACAGAAATAGAACATGGACTGCTTGAACATTATTATGATAAGTTTCAAACATGCTTTTGACTTCTGCTGGGATTTTTAATATCTCTATAATTTAGTTGTTCAGATGTTTTTTTGACGTGGAGGTTTGATAAGAGCTAAGGGAACTGGCTCAGCTGATTTCAAAGACCCCTTTAACTTAGTTCTTCCTTTTATGCTTCTTTGTGATGCCAAAATTAATCTCCATACTTCTCTTCTCTTTGTTCTGTATAGGTTTTCTCCAGAGGCAGCTTCAAGAAGAGGTCTCAGCACAGCAGAAATGAATGCAGTGGAAGCTATTCACAGAGCGGTAGAATTTAATCCACATGTGCCAAAAGTGAGTTATTGTGAATCTCTACTACTATTTGGTATAAGAATCAAAATGAATTTAAGTAGCAACTTAATTGTCAAGTGGTGTCTCCTTCTATGAAAAAAATACCCAATACAGTCACTTAGAACAAAATTCTCTTTTGCCTCCATCTTTTGTTCTTTTTTCTTCTCATTCAAAACTTTATTTTTCAGATGTCCTTTACATTTCTTGACATGCCTTTAATCAAATATAATGCTGACAGAAATATGTACACAGCTTTTGATTATTGACATGTAGCATTAAGTTGGGAATAAAATTCAATTCATTTGGGTTTTCTTCTGAATAAATATGGGTGAGCTTGTCAGCAGAGTTTTAGACAGCTCTTAGCTTACTCATAAGATTTAAAGTGTGCAATAGAGATAAGAAAATACAATCCCATAGTTGCTTCGTATCTGCTGGGTCTCTGATCAGCTGCCATTATTGGAAGCCAAAGTCGTAATAAGCTACTTTTCAGAGAGGAATTTTGGCAAAACAAGGAGAATGTGATCAAGAAAGGATGTGACTTCATTTTAACTATCATAGGATCAGAAATGAAATAGGGATGGACAAAATATGGCAAATAATAAGACAAGAAATTGTAGTTGGAAATCAAGTTTTATTTTAATTGCCCAAAGCATTTTGTATTTAGAGGTGTTTAGAAGACTTTCAAGATCACAAATTTCTCCATTCTCAAGATCTTGGCTCATACTGGATTCCATCCTCTCTTGGATGGTTATTGTTACAGCTAAAATGTGAACTACTTTGTTTGATAAATCTTGTGTTTGCAGTAAGAAGTAATAAAACATACATCTAATGCTTCCATGTGTGATTTGCTTGATGCTGAAGCTTTTGCATTGGACAAGCATGTGTAAACTCACTTGCTTGATACATATATTGTAAATAGCGATTGCATTTTTTCTTTTTCTTCTGTAATGCAACCTGCCAGGTCTGTCTTCTGTCCTTGTCACTCTGTTGTATCAGTTGTTGTTGTTGTTAATTGTGAAGTCATGTCCGATCCATTGTGACCCCATGGACAACATTCCTCCAGGTCTTCCTGTCCTCTACCATCTTCTGGAGTCCATTTAAGTTCATGCCTACTGCTTCAGTGACTCCATCCAGCCACCTCATTCTCTGCCGTCCCCTTCTTCTAGTGCCCTCAATCTTTCCCAGCATTAGGCCCTTCTCCAGTGAGTCCTTCCTTCTCATTAGGTGGTCAAAGTATTTGAGTTTCAACTTCAGAATCTGGCCTTCTAAAGAGCAGTCAGGGTTGATCTCTTCTAGGACTGACCGGTTTGAATGCCTTGCAGTCCAAGAGACTCGCAGGAATCTTCTCCAGCACCATAGTTCAAAGGCCTCAATTCTTTGTCACTCAGCCTTTCTTATGGTCCAACTTTCACATCCATACATTGCAACTGGGAAAACCATGGCCTTGACTAAATGCACTTTTGTTGGCAGGGTGATGTCTCTGCTTTTTAGTATGCTGTCCAGATTTGCCATAGCTTTCCTCCCCAGGAGCAAGCGTCTTTTAATTTCTTGGCTGCAGTCCCCATCTGAGGTGATCTTGGAGCCCAGGAAAATAAAATCTGTCACTACCTCCATTTCTTCCCCATCTATTTGCCAGGAATTGAGAGGGCCGGATGCCATGATTTTGGTTTTCTTAATGTTGAGTTTCAAGCCAACTTTTGCACTCTCCTTCTTCACCCGGATCAAGAGGCTCTTTAGTTCCTCTTCACTTTCTGCCATTAGAGTGGTATCATCTGCATATCTTAGGTTGTTGATATTTCTTCCGGCAATCTTAATTCCAACTTTTGTTTCATCTAGCCCTGCCTTTCTCATGATGTGCTCTGCATATAAGTTAAATAGGCAGGGTGACAGAATACAGCCTTGCCGGACTCCTTTCCCAATTTTGAATCAATCAGTGGTTCAGTGTCCAGTTCTCACTGTTGCTTCTTGACCCACATATAGGTATCTCAAGGGACAAATAAGATGGTCTGGTACTCCCATCTCTTTAAGAACTTGCCACAATTTGTTGTGAACCACATAGTCAAAGGCTTTAGCATAGTCTCAAATCTTTACCTAGATCTTTTTAAACCTCAGGATCTGTTTTTTGAATTTGAGTAATACTTCCTGTGTTCCTCCTCTTCTTTGAAATGTTTTATGGGACTTTACTGCTTTAGCTATTAAGACTTTTCACAAGTGATGAGTAATCCTTTTTTTCATTTCCTTCTTCTTTTAATCAGAATGTAAAACTCTATCAGGTGGATTGTCAATTCAGCTAGAATGTCAAAATATGAATTTAAAACCTCTGCTCCCTTATTCATGTTACATAAGTAAGAGTCAGAATTTCATAATATGAGTTGTTCTGAATTTTACTTGTAAAGCTGTCCTTAAAAGGTTTGCTTGTTCTTCCTTTTATATGTCCTTATTCTTAGCTGTCTTAGAATTACTTGCATTTTCATGCTGGCCTTCATATTGCAAAAAGGGCATATTTCTGTACTTCAATAACACTATTTCCTTTTCCGTATTTGATCCATAATATAGTTTAAAAGAAGCCTCAAAAATGTCTTCTCACCCAGAACTTTTTAAGTTTTGTGCATGTTATCATGACAGATTTTATTATATTTCATCTGTGTAAACTACGTGGTGTTGTAGGAATGAATGGCACACTGTAGACTGTATATATAAGCAGCAAGTACACTGAGAATAAATGTGGTGAGAAGTACCTAATATGTCATTTTTCTTTAAAGACAAAAAATAACAATCAAGGGGCCACTCTAGATGTCAATATGCAATGCACAATGCACATCAAGTTCAAATATTTGCCCTTTAATATATTCAACAATTACTATAAAATAAAAAGAAAATCAATTTTTATTAATGATTAAAACAATGTTGGAACTGGTTGCAATCTAGCTATCATAGAAATGTCATTATTTAATACATCATTTAGGTATAACATTGTAAATAATTATAAATTATTTATTTGTAAGTAATTAGAATAGTTACTATGTCTGTATAACAAATCACTCCATCACTTATTTGCTTAGATAATCACTAAGCCCATTAGAGACAGCATAAAATATATAGACATTTTTTTGTTTTTGAATGTGTGTTTCTGAAAATGCAATCTGTGCTTTAGTCTCTGTTAATTTATGAATTTAAACCTAACTTGTAATTTGTTTTTCTATTAAATTAAATTATAGGAACTGTTATAATATAGTTGGTATTTTAAATCACCTAGAATCGTTTTGGATAGTGAGATGGGTGGCATAAAATTTTAAATTTAAAAAAATAATAAAAAACCAGTCTATCAAAATCCTATTAAATATTTTATTTTGTTTTCTGTTTATATTCATTTTTAATACTTTTCCTTTTTCCACATATATATAGCCCTAAATTGTAATTTTATTTCAAAGGTTCAGGAAATTATCCTTTTATTTGCTTTTGATAATTTTAAGTGATATTTTTATTATTTTATCATAATCAAATAAAAAGATTGTTGCATTAATAATCTTCTTAATTTGGAAGCACTTCTGACATGTGCCTTCACAAATGCCAAATATGTTTCATCATGGCATTCTGATCTTTTTCCTAACTACAATGAACCAAAAATTTTTGTGTAGCAGTGGAAGAAACCACTTTTAAGGGATGGTGCATTTCCTCCAGTTTCTCCTCCGAGAAGTGGCAGCTGGGTGGAAGTTTATTAAAGAAACACAGTTCCAAGTCTCATGTAAAGCCCAAAGAAAACAAAATTTTTCAGAGCGGTTGCATGTCAGTGGCAGCAGACTCAGATATAAACTTAAGACACAAATTCTATGAGTTGATTTGGTTTCTGATTTTGGGGTAGATTTTCTTCAAAGCAATTTATTGTAAACTGCTTAGAGTCACTTTAAACTGCAAGAAGGATGGCAAATAAATTTGATAACAATAATTGAATAGTTCCTTTATTGGAATGGATATACAACAGAACATCATGTGCTCTTCTATATAAATTACAGGAGTTTTTAAGATGTTTCATTTAGGTTTGATTAAATTGAAGTATAATTTAAAGACCTTTGAAAGACCTGCTTAAAAACGAACACGTTAATTCAATTCTCTTTTTTAATAGTAATATTAGTAAAAGTAACAAAAAATATAAACTAATGCAAAAAATAAAAAAGAATAGAAAGTGTGGAAAACAAAAAATAGAAAAGAAAAGGAATATAGAAAGAAATTATTTCCCCCTTTATAACAAGTTATGAAAATTTTGTAACTTATAACTTTCTCTTACAATGCAACTAATGATCTCTTCTTCCCATATGGCATCTCTTACATATATATCAATTGTTAAAGCCTCATCATTATGATCCTGGTGTCAGTTAAAGTCCATTGAGAAATAATAACATTTTAACCTTGATCAAATAAATCAACTATATATTCCTCCTTTTGCTTCTAAGAATCTTGATATTTAGTTCCTTCAAATAATGTTCTAGAATTTTATTCCTTTTTATTTTTTCTTTGTCCCTTGTCACAAAAATTTTGAAAGCTTTCACAAGCTTCTTTTGTAAATCCAGTGTAGGAAAATTATCCAAGTTATTCTTTTGGATTGTTATTTGTTATTTTAATGATTAAGACATCAGCTGGTTTCTTTTCAATGTCCAGTGTAACATTTTTACTTTTTGTCACTCTTGTGGTCTGTTATTTGTAAATCCACTTTCAACTCAGTCTTGATCTTTTCAGGTAAAATTTGTTCCTCTTCCATAACATCTTTTAAATGTAGTCTATCTATAGAGGCAGACACACTTAAAATTAACTTTTGGGTTTATTGTTTAAAAATATTCTTCAATACATCAAATATTAAAATATTTTACTCCATTCTATATTAAAAAATCAAATTTAAGTGTTCTTTTGCTTTTAATTGTAATCTTTAGTTCCTTATGGTTCCCTCTAGTGTCCAACCTTCAAAGTCTACCTTGTAATGTTTTTAAAGAGAATTCAAAACATAATTTTCCCACAGTAAATATTCTTATAATTAAATCCAAAATCTTATTTCAAATTTATTTCAAATTTACCTTAGTATGTAATTTTACAAAATTAAAATTCGGATTTGCTATTTATTTCAAAATAATTTTTAAGACCTTTAAATTCTTTCACTAAGGATTAAAGGAGACTTTCCCAGTGCTGTAAAATGTATTGATCCAAAGGTTCCTTAAAAGTAATTAATAAGCAAGTTCTAAAAGTGACTAAAAAAGGATGTATGCAAACCTAGTATCTATTGAAGGAACTAATCAAAAAGATGTCTATTTTATCTCTTAGAGCTATAAATCCACTGGTGTCTTATGGTATTCTCACAAGGATCAACTGTGTGGAGCATTTGAGGGCGATCTCATGTCCTCTCCTTGCCCTGAGATGAATTATAAAGAGCTGGTCTACTTGTCTGCTTTTCATTTTGCTGCTTGTAGCCAACCTAAAGCCCCATGGAAAGAGATATCAATGTTCTTTATAGTAGAACTGACTGAAAGCTCGAGCAATACAGTAATCTGGGTGATAATCAACTTGTTTTCCAAACAAATGTACTTTACACCCTGTCAAAAAATCCTCTCTGCTCTCACTTTGGCTAAGCTATTTGTGCAGCATGTCTATCGATTGCATGGTGCTCCAGAAAGAATAATACCAGATTGTGGAGTCCAATTCATTTCACTGTTTTCGCAGGAGTTCCTAAAACTCTTGGAACCACTCAGAGGCTCAGCTCCTCCCATCATCCAGCTACTAATAGTGCCTGTGAACCTATGTATGTGGTCTTGGAGTAGTACCTCAGGTGTTACATTAATTACTAACAAGACAATTGGGCAGACAAGACAATTTTGCAGACCTTCTCCCTTTTGTGGGGGTTGCCTACAATAACTCAGTACACAGTACCAGATTCACTCCAGTTAAAGTGGCCACAAGACAGGACTTTGTATCTATCCCTGAGTTGCCTCAGTTCCCCCCCCCCATCAACTGCATCTCTAAAAGAGTCAGTCACCCTACTACAGAATACCTGGCTGGTGGTGAGAAAAACTTTGGATGAAGCTAGGGAAGCATATAAAAAACATGCCAATAAAAAGTGCATTAAGTCAAGGACTTTATAGTGGGAGATAAGGCCTATCTATCTACCAAATTCTTAAAATCTAGACAACCATCCCAAAAATTGGGGCTGAAATATATTGGTCCTTTCCCCATAAAAATGATTAACCCAGTGACCATAGAACTTGCCAAAAACACTCAGATCGTTCACCGTGTTTCATTGCAATCTTTTGAAACCAGAGATAATGTCTTCCCTACACACTAAGTCTCAACCACCCCCTTATCCGATTATGATTGAGGGAGAGCAACACTTTGAAGTTTGGATTCCCGTATACATCAAGGAAAACCCAGTACTTGTTAGCATGGAAAGACTTCCCTCCCTCGGAGACTGAATAGGTTGATTCCCAACATATTAAAGCCTCTAGACCATGATGGCGAACCTTTTAGAGACTGAGTGCCCAAACTGCAACCCAAAACCCACTTATGCATCGTCGAGTGCCGAGTGGGCGTGGCCAATTGGGTGGGTATGGCTGCAGTGGTAATGGCAGATTGGGTGGGACTAAAAAGTTCAATCAATCAATTCCAACTTTGCAAGAACTTCCCCCCCCCCGAAGTTGAAATTGACTGATTGAACCTTTTTTTCCCACATGATGGTGGAGGCCTCAAAAGAAAAGGTTTTATAAAACCCAGTTGAAGGCCTAGGACTGGGGCGATGATGCGCGTGCCCACAGAGAGGGCTCTGAGTGCTGCTTCTGGCACCCGTGCCATAGGTTCACCACCACTGCTCTAGACTGCTTAAAAAATGCCATGTACAGTACTGAGATAAACCTTATTGAACTATTTGCTAATTAGAGACTTTCTGTTTTTCTGTCCCTCCCCTCTTTTTTTATTGCTTTCTAGGACTAACGTCTTTATTAAAGGGGGCACAATGTCAGGTCTGCCAGGCTCGGCTTGGTGCCTCATTGGCATCCTGCCATCAAAGGCTAGAAGGGGGAGGAAGATAGATAGACAATAAAGCTGTGTGTGTACGTGATGGGAAACAGGGAGGGGCAGAATAACAGGTGATAAAGATCAGAGATGCTCAGAATCAGTTTGTACCAGCATCCAAGGCCAGGTGCCATGAAAAAGAATGTGGATTACCTCAAAACATCTCAGCATTCTCAAAACATTTTGGCAAGTTTCAATTGGCTGAAGACAGACTGGTCATGGGGGAAGGGCTGATATGAGGGGAAACCTTTCTGTATCTTTTGAGCACAGGAAACTCAGACCTAGTCTGACTTTACTACAGCTTTTTAGTAAAAGAACCTTTCACTTCAACCAAATGGAGTTGATGGTCTTTCTTTCCTAAGGGATCAGATTGGGGCAGGTCTGCTATATGCATAATTTTACCCTGGCCTATATTTTGTAGAAAACTATTAACCCAATGTATGTTCTTGCAATGTCTTATATATACTTATTTCACACACTCAATTTATACACTCAGTACAAAAGGTTTTTTTGATAATGCTTTGGATTTAAAAAATAACCTTTTTTGTATCTTTTTAAAGAGAGAGATGTTTATTATTTTCTGCTGTCTGTAAAGAACTGCCATTTGCTGGTATATTTTAGTATTTATGATACATAAGCAATTTATTATCAAAAGCAATAGGTGATTATATAGATTTAATAAAACTTTTGCAGCTGAACAGTAAGCAGTGCCAGGTGGGCTGTGATATAATGATCTTTCCTTTTTATGCCTGTGTTATGACTGTATGCTTGCTGTTTTTCTGTTGTAGTATCTCCTAGAAATGAAAAGCTTAATATTACCCCCTGAACATATTTTAAAGCGAGGCGACAGCGAAGCGATTGCTTATGCTTTCTTTCACCTTCAGCACTGGAAAAGAGTGGAAGGGGCTCTGAATCTCTTACATTGTACGTGGGAAGGCAGTAAGTAATTCACTTTCTTAAAGCATGTGGCAGGAAATGAATGCCAAATGCTTTTAATTTTTTTTTTTTTGCAAAGAAGCACCTAAGATAAAAGCCTTTTCTGCTCAGTTCAAAGTACTATTTAATCATACAATGACTGTGTCATGGTTCCGACAGATGAAACTCTTCAAAGAACTTGAGGCTTTGTTTACCTTAAAGAATCATTATTAGAGAAGCATAGCATCAGCACTTACATAGCCAAAGCCAAAATCTGAATTCCCCTCGCCTGAGCACATAGTCTCAAAGCACAATTTCCTCCGCTAATTTACAGTCATAAATCACATTCTCCAATTAGTTTGAAATGCAGACTTTCCGTCCAGTTCTCCAACCCCCCAATTCTTATCATCTCTTATTTCAAAAAAACTTTGGTTCTCACACTAATTACAGTATTGTTATGTTTAACTAAACTCCCATGCACATTCCTCCTCCTCCCTCCCAGTATCATCTAATTCTAACTCTAATTCTAAGAGTAAAACATAAGAAGGAAAATGATTGCATCTCCATATGTTGTCAAAGCAAAAACATCCGATGTTAGCAGCATTGACAGACTAAGCATGTTTTAGTTGAAACTGTAATATGTAATTTATATACAGGTATGCCTGAGAGAGGCATCATAAGTTCACACCCAATTTTATGACCTTTTTTGATGAAGTTCTTAAGCAAATAACTGCAGTTGTTAAGTGAGAAATCATATGACTGCGATTTGTGGCCTTCCCTGTTGGTTTTCCCATTGATTTCACTTGTTAGAAGTCATCTGGGAAGGTTACACATAGTGATCACATGACTGTGAAATACTGTGATCGTCATAAATGCACAATGGTCGCCAAAGTGCCCCAATCATAGTCACATAACATCAGGGACACCGGCAGTCATAAGTGCAAGAGCCAGTCATAAATCACTTTTTCAGTGTAGTCATAACTTGGGTGACCAAATGAACGGTTGTAAGTTGACAACCTGTATATAATATAAGATTTATATTATTTGGACAATAGAAGAATATTGTTAGTAAGTTAGAAGACTTTCCTTAAGTTTACTAAATTAAATTGGAGCAGATCTCCAAATCAAGGCAGATGCAAATTTCCAGCCTAAATGCCTATTTTGCAGAATAATGGCAGCCCCACAAATGGTCAACACTCTTAAGAAATATAATGGTGCAGTTTGGTGCCAGACACCAGAATGCTGATTGGAGCTGCTCAGTTAGTAGCAGCATTTGACCAACTTTGAACTTTAAGTTTAAAGCTTTGAACTTCAAGTAAACAACATCATGCTTGGACAGTACTTGGATGAAAGACTTCCAGAGTTCACCAAGCCTGTAGAGCAGATCGAGAAGCTGAAAAATATCATGGAATGCACACTTTCATAGCCTTCCTGTTTCTAAATGGTTATTCAGAATACACAGCAATGCAAAAGTAGCACCTCCTGAAATTACTTTAAATTTGCTATGGTTTTTCTAGGATTGGGAGGGATTAAATCTTGAATTTTGAATAAAATCTTGAATAAAACCTTGAATAAAATCTTGAATGTTCAAGATGGCAACAGAGAAAGCAGAGATGGTTACATCACGGGGAGAAAGTTGCTATTAAACTAAGACAAAACAGTAGGAGGAGAGGTGGAGAGGGAAAGATAAGTCATAGAAAGAGAAAAAAGACTGGAGAAGGGAAAAGGAGAGGAAATATTGGAGAAATTAAGAGGAAAACAAAGGAAGTGGCCTGCAGCAAACTTGCCTGCTGAGAGAAGCCCAGCTGCACTCAAGAGGCCTACCTAAGAAACCGGAGGCCTATTGAGCAGAGAGGCGAAATGACTGCAGGCAGCAAAATGAACCAGTGAAGAACAAAGAGGCAAGCTGGTGAGTGATTGGGGCCAGCTGCAGAACTGACAGGAGAGTCAGCTGTGGGGCAGAGAGGAGATCTGACTGAGGGCAGCACAACGACTGGCAGAAAACAAAGAGGCGGGCTGGTGAGATAGCAGAACAGGGAGGAGAGCCAGCTGCAGAGAGGAAAGGAGAGCCTGCGTGGTCAGTGACCTGCCCAGGTGGAGGACTTGTGGGGGACTTGATCAACATTCCCTCTCCAGTGAGATTAGCAGCCCCCCACCTCCTGCTAGCTGGGCAGACCTTCCCAGCAGCCTATCTGGAGGAGGACAGAGGGCCTGGAGCAACCCATCCAACAAAGGCTGAGAGAAATTGGTGTGGCAGAATCAGTGGAGAGGAGAAACACAGCAGTAGAATTGGTGGAGGGGAGATTGCAGCAGCAGAGATGGGCAGCACAACAGATCTGTAAAGCTGAGTGGCGGGCTGAGAGAGCTGACCAGAGAAGAGACAAGGCTGAAAAGACTTGAGCACAGAAAGAGAACAGAGCTGGCAGAGAAAAACGATAAGAAGCTGGAGCAGCAAATGATGGAAGTGAAGGCAACATTTAAGCTTGAGGTCCCAATAGGAAGGGAGGGAAGACCCCGATAGAGAATAAAAATAAATACAGGCCAGAAAATAAAAGATAAATAAATAGGCAAATAATAAGGACAAGAGCGGAACATTAGAAATCAAGGAAGAATAAGATTAATAAAGAGGCATATCTTAACAAGACAAATCTTAAATAATAAGGTAGGGAGAAATTGGAACTCAAAAACTTTTAAAAAATATAAGGAGGAAAAAAATAAATAAAACTAACATAATAGTAAGCAAGTTAAATAAATAAGGTAGAAAAAAAGCAGAAAAAAGGCAGAAAAGGGGATGGGAAAAAATAGGCATAATTACCTAGAACAGAGAAGGTAGAAACATGGTTAAAAGCAAAGCACATCCACCAATCAAAAAAGAGGGATTTTCAAACAACAAACTCATGGAACAGGTGACTGATACTATTGTGGTATGCAATAAATGTTCCATGTATGTACTTATGCCCAAAGAACACCCAAATTATACATGTATAAAATGTAAACTAGAGGAAAAAGTAAGGAATCTGGACGCAACTCTAGCCAAGAAAGCTATTTCCAAATCAAACCAAATAATGAACAAATAACTCCCAGAGTATTTGACCCTGCTGATAAACCTTTGAAGGAAGAGAAATGGATGTATATTACACATAGAAGGAAACATAATAATCAAAGAAAGAAGCGGCATACATCTAACAAACCCCTACTGCCCAATCTAATCCAACCAAAAGCAGCTCCATTAAAACTGAGCAATCGATTTCTCCCCCTAGATCAGTGGTTCTCAACCTTTTTAATGCCGCGACTCCAACTGGTCGTAAGTTGAGGACTACCCAACCAGTCGTAAGTCGAGGACTACCCAACTGGTTGTAAGTTGAGGACTTTCCCTGCCCAGGAGTGCCGCCCCCTGCGCTGGCTGAGGCGTAGCTGGCAAGGGGCAGCGACGGCGCAGGGCGACCACTGGCTGGGCCACCAGCTGGCCCAGCTCAAGGGAGGTATGGCACCCGCCGGGCCCCACGCGCGCCAGCAACCCTCCCTGTGCTCGCCAGCCTCCCACCTCCCACCCCTGGCCCTCTTTTACTTATATTTTTAGTAGTTGCTCAGCAGTTTCCAGACAGCTCGCCTTCACTGCAGACAACTTGCAGCACCGTTTGCAGACTGGGGCTTTTGGCGGGCTCAGCAGGGCAGAGACAGCCTGGACAATTCCGATTGGCTTTTGAAAGCCAATAGACTTCAAGAGAGTCTATTCTATTGGCTTTCAAAAGCCAATAGAATAAAAGGGAGTAGCACAGCTCTGGAAAAGGGGAAAAAATGGCGGACTGCATTGTTTGGCGACCCCCGTGAAATGGTCATTCGACCCCAAATGGGGTCGCAACCCACAGGTTGAGAACCTCTGCCCTAGATGAAAATATGCAGACCCACAACCTCCCGCTCAAAACATGCAGACACCTAGAAAAGAAACATCACCAAATATCCCTAAAAAGTCACATCAACAAACATACCTGACATAAATAGAAAAGCACCCAGACTGTACCCCCCAAAAAGAAGTGATGGTGATAGGAGATTCTATTCTCAAAGGTACAGAACCAGCCATCTGCAGACCAGAATTAAAATCTAGGGAAGTATGTTGTCTCCCTGGAGCAAAAATCAAAGATGTGGCTGAGAATCTAACCAAAATAATTAGGCCCACAGATTACTACCCTTTCCTCCTCCTTCACATTGGGACTGTGAATGACACAACAAAGAATTTGAGTACAATATTGAGAGATTATAAGCAACTAGGCAATAGGTTAAGGAGCTAGGAGCATCAGTACTCCCAACAAAAGGTCAACACCCATTGATGGAAAAAAGAATTATAGAAATAAACCGCTGGCTAAAGGGTTGGTGTCACTCAAAAAACTTTGGTTTCCGGGACCATGGACTGCATTACCTACATGAAGGACTCTTGCAAGGGATGGGCTGTACCTCACGAAAACAGGGAAAATGTACTCTGAAAAAGACTGGCCCAACTCATCAGAAGGGCTTTAAACTAAAATTGATGGGGAAGGATGACTAATCTTTAGAATTTCTAGAACACAAAACCAATCATAAATCCCAAGAAAACTAATCAATGAGGTAGGGAGTGATGAGAAAAAAAGAAAAACTCAGACAATTAGGAGATGCAGAAAACATATCCACGAACAGGCATAAAAGTCTTAAATGCTTATAAACAAGCACTCAAAGCTTGGGGAACAAACAGCGTGCACTAAAAGCAATAGACACGAGGGTAGGTATGACATAGTTGCCATTACAGAAATCTGGTGGGATGAAACCCATGACTGGAATGTACGAATGGAGGATACAAATTGTTCAACAGAAACAGATCAAAAGAGGAAGTGGAGTTGCACTATATGTAAGAGAACACTACAGTGAGGGAAAAAATATTTGATCCCCTGCTGATTTTATACGTTTGCCCACTGACAAAGAAATGATCAGTCTATAATTTTAATGGTAGGTTTATTTTAACAGTGAGAGACAGAAAAACAAAACAAAAAATC